AGGCTAAAGATTTAAATTCTTAATATTCAGATGACTTTCGAGTTTCTGGCCCCATCTGTGCATTAGTCCATGGTGTTAATCTCTGAGGGAATCTCTGCTGGCATAGAAATAAAATAAACAAACTGGGACAGTAGTAGAATAATCAGCATTTAAAATCCTTGGGTTTTTTTATATACTGATTATTTTTTATGAGATTTCTTTAACTCGATTTGCCACATATAGACTTGGCTCCCAGCTATTTCATTTTTCACGTGGCATGTTATCAACAATTATTCTATCAGAGTTCCATGGACTCAGGAGGAGAAGGAGAGATTTTAAATTACAACATTTCTCATGTAAGAAATACTAATATTCCTTTGTTTTGGAGGACTCTCTGTACTCAGCATTCTTTCACACCACCCCTAAGAAGGGTGGTAGGAGTAAACTATCCTACACAACTCCAGGAGAATGAAGGGGCTGGATAGAATTTAAAAGAAGTCCCTTGGACTTGTGCTATTGACTTGAAAGGGACCAGGATGCATCCAGAGAGTTAGTGAAGTGGAAAGGATGAATGGGAATGGAAAAGGCCAGTCTGACAGGAACAAATTGTTTTGGAGAGATGAGTTAATTTCTGACAATCTTTCTGTTAAAACAAAATAGATACAACACAGAGCAAAGCACTCAAGTCGCTGCAGAGCATTTCACATTGACCTTTTCAGAACTGAACACTTCAGTTAAGTGAGACATCCACATCCTTCCACGAGGAAGGGTCTGCTGTGGTTACAGCAAAACAAAGCTTCTGCAGAGATGGAAGTAATCCTTCTCCATCACACTATTTTGTAATTAAACTCCCTTTCTTCTTTAATGTTTAAGCATTTTCATGTCATTTTCTTGAGTAATTTTTTTGAAACTGTAAGTTCCTCCCAAAAGAGCCCTCCCCAAGGACTCTGCTGGGATCCTGCACACCCAGCAGTACAAGTTCAGTGGCTTGTGCTCACAGAGGGGAAAATCCCACTCCAAGCCCCATCCCTCCCTGCTGTAAGGAGCTGGTGCGATGCAGCTGGGAGTCGTGGGCATGGAAAAGGCAGCAGAATCCTTGCAGGGCAGGCTGTGCTGGGCAGCCAAGCTCTGCACCCATCCCGCTTTGTCAGCGCTCGAAAGGCAGCTCCAGGAGAGCTCTGCTGGTTAAGGCTGCCAGAGGGAGCGGGGGAATTTCAGCTCCAGCTTGCAGCTGCATTTTTAAAACCTCGCTGTGTTCTTCACACAGAGGCAAAGTTCAAAGAGGCAGAACATTATTCAACATGAGTAAAATACGGTCTTTTAAGATACACTTTCAAACAGTGGCGTGTTAAATCAAAACAATGCGTGGAGGGGGAGAATGAGGAAGAAAGATAGTCCTGTGGAAAAGGAAATCCTGCATCACTACTCCTGATCTGCATTTTTGGAAGGGCCTGCTTTTACACATTTTAAATTGCGCAGCTACTTGACCTGAGACTAGAAATGCATTAAACTGTTTTTCCAGAGAGTATCAGAAAAGGAAAGAGATGTAATTCAGTTTAAGAGCCAGCACATCTGAGGATGTCCAGGGGCCAGTTCTCACCACAGAGAACTTCACCGAGAGTGAGCTCCTGATTTTCAAGAACACTATGCTATGGCTCAAGACACTATTTCAATTAAGTTATTATAATCTTAACCAGCAACAACAACCTATTATAATTAATAATACTTGATGATTTCTTTTCTATTCCTGTCAAGGGTTGCTTCAAGGTGACTTGCAGAGAACAGGCTCCTTGGGAACCCAGGCTGAGTGCTCTGCAGGCTGGGAAGCCCCTTCACTTAAACCCCATCAGACTGTCTAATGAGTCTCTTCACATCACTGCCAATTCTTCCAGCTCTTGGACAATTTTGTATATTTGTATTCCAGGCTAAAGCAAACTTGTTCCTGCGGGAGGCTGAGTGCCCAGCAGTGTCACACCGTGCTGCAGGCTGGAGCACGCCTCCTTCTGCATTCCCTTTCCTTGGTTCACTCCACCCTCTTTTGGCACGTTCACCGTTGAGTCAGTAGGTCACATCTTACTTGGCCACCCTCCATGCCCTGCCCTGGCCTGGCACACTCTGCAGCTCCCTGCCAGGCTCAGAGATGAGGCCGCACACTCTGTTCCAGGTCACCACATCCCGGCCCCGAGCAGGGACCAGGATCCTGCGGGGGGACAGCCCTGCCTGCTGGGCACACACAGCCCTGCCTCTGCTCCAGCCGGACCCTGGGAGTGCTGGACAGCACCTCAGGGCCCTTTCCTGCTCACTGGAACGGGATCTGCTCTATTGATCCTGCTGAAGCCTTACCAGGCTTTCCCTGCAGCTCAAGGTCACTGCGCCCTGCTCAGCCTCTGCTCAGTGGCACATTTCTGATGGTCTTGCTCTGCAAAATTTCCATGGGTAGAGCTCGAGCTCCATATATCCTTTTTTTTATCTGGGTTTTTTTCTACTAAATCTGGGCAAAATTCTGACTGACTTCAAACAGCCACTGGCTGCTCATTCTAGCTGCCCTCAGAGCCAGCATTTATTTGGGATACTCTAATATCTCTCATCAGAGGTGTGCAAAATTAAGAACATGGCAGATACTGCCGTAATCAAGTAATCCTGCATTTTTAATCACAGCCATTATAAATGGGCATATGGAAGATGTGAGAAATAACAATTGCACAGGATATCCAGGGAAGCATTTTCAGTCCTCAGGCATAGTTCAGCAGCACTGAGCAGAGGAAAATGAATGCTGAATTCCTGTAACATATAACAAGATTTTTTGGTTTGCTTGAAGCACGGATATTCACACATATGCAGATATATTTTTATAGATGCATATACATCTCTAACTTACTGTTGAATCAGTACTGAACAAATTTTGCTGTTACCTCAAAGAATATGCAGTGCCTTTCATTTCTCAACCGCTGCCAGAAATAATCATGAATTTTGGTAACGTATTTCTTCTCTTGCAATGGCTGGTGGTACCTCCTTAGTTGTTACAATATTCTGAGGCATCTTCAACCAATAAGAAGTTTCTAAATATTTGCAAGATCTACCTTTAGCTAAATGCATTGTGTGCACTTGTCTCTGCACAAAAGAGGGACACATAATTTTGAGGCAAAGGAGGAGCATGCAGATATTCCCTTTTAACTCCATGACCTCTCCATCACTTTCTCAAAGGCACAAGATCATGTTTCTTGCCAAGCACACGGAATGAGGGCCTCCAATACCCAAATTCCTAGGAGGCTCAACAAAAGCAAGGAAGAGAAATTCAATACTAATATAAACCTTTAAAAGAATACCGATTAAACAGGAGAGAGAGGAAAAAAAACCCCGACAAATACATCAAAGACAAATGTAATTGCTTTTGAATAAAAACAGATTGCTTTCTACCTTCCTGCCTTAAAGGCAAGCACTCCAGCCTGGGATAGAGAATACCAAAAAACACTGCTAGAAGCAGAGGCACAAGTATTTTGTAGGCAAATTATCCTGTTCTATTTAATAGCTCAAAGGCTTATCTGGATTTCAGACAAGAAGAGGATGCAATTTACTGCTTTTTTGACAGATGAACAGAGCTAGTTAAAACATTTGGGAACACTTGGAATATTGATCTGTCCTCGAATAAGATGTAAGAAATTTGATTTGCTATGGAAATGTTGTATCAATCTTCAAACTTTTATATGCCCCAAAGTGGCCTTCAAATGAAAGCTGGAAAAATTCTCTGGGAAGATGTCATCAGAGCTGTCAGCTCAGGGACTTCTCACATTCCCTCCTCCAAGCAGGACCAGGATCAGGACTTTGAAGCTGGAACATCACCACCCAAAGGAATCAGAAAGGGAGCTGTACCTATTCTTTGCTCAGAAATAATGTCACGTTCTGCCCCCACCACGTGTCCCCCACAGCTGCCCGTCCCTCACAGTGCTGGAAGACAATAAATCAGGACTGTGAATCACCTTGTTAAAAACAGTGCCCACCGGAGACTCCCCTGTCACACCTCCGGCAGCAGAGCCGCTGTGATAAATGTTTGCTGACACAAACCAAAGTCGCGGGGTATTTAACCCCCCAGCTGGCAAACAACCAAGGAGAGAATCTAGGCAAAAAACTCCCTCTGATTTCAGGAGAGTTCCAATTGTACTGGTGACACAGAACAATGTTCAAAGAATGGATACAGTCATTTTAGTTACGCCCAGCAATGAGCTAAACCAACCCTGCTCCCATATAGGAAACTGCAGGGTTACACCACACTTAAATAACAAATCAACAGTAGAGTTGGAAATAGAACATTAAAGACCTTTACAGCTCTGCTTCTTCCAAGCATATAAATGTGCTCATGTAAAAATCATCACTTTTCCCCATACAGCTTACACCCTCACTGATTTTTCACCCAGAAATTTCCTGCTATTTACCTTCAGTTTTTTCCCATTTTACCCTCTGTTACAGAAGTCTGTGGGGACAGAGGATGAACCTGCTATTTCAATATGAATATTCCCACTTCTGCAGGTTTCCATCAGGTCCCAAGTAAGAAAGTGTTTTCTTGAGACAGCCTTCCTTGGAGTCTGACTGGATGCCAGATATTGAGTTGGCAAATGACTGAATTAAATATCAAGGAGGAGGATATTGAGCATTTGAGACACAGGGTCAGTGAAAGGCCACCGCCAGGCTGGTTTTCAGTGCTCTGTAATTAGAATAACAGCCCTGTACGTGTGCAGTGAGTGTATGAGAATGGTGCTACACAGCATTACTCTACAAAACTGCTGCTTTTCCAAATTCCACAGCCAGGAAAGGACCACCAGGACCCAGGTTCCCTCCATCCCAAGTCTGCACTTTGTCTTCATCCAGAAAAACAGACATAATGGGATTGTTCTCACCTCCATCAGTCTTCCACCAACAGCCAGCAAGATCAAACCTCATCCTCTGTTCCCAGCAGAGCCCAAGCCACCACACCAGATGAATGACTGAAAAGCTGTGAAACTTTGAGCCTTTTTTTTCAACTGTACCTGGTTTAGAGCCTTCATCAACAGATCCATTATAGACTTGGTTGATGAACTCCGGCCTGTTGTCATTCATATCAATCACATAGATGTAAAGGTCAATAGGATTCTCCACCTTGTTTCCATTCATATCCACCGCATGAGCCCGGAGCTGGGGAGGAGCACAAAGAAAGCACAATATCAGAAAATGGATTTGTTGCAGAATAAGAGACTGTTTTGCAAGGATTGACTTTACATCATAAATACTTCCTCAAAATTGAATGGAGGCAGTATCTAATTCCAGCAGAAAGCACTGACATGGTTTCCATCTACACTCGACTCACAGTTTTTCAGAGCTTAATATAATATTGAAATAATATTTTAAAACAGTGATTGTCAGTGGAAACACTTCAGCTCTGGTGTAGTGATGCTATCTTATCTCCTTCACAGCTCACAGACCACCCTATTTTAATTTTTAAGACATATTGAACCTCATCTGACAATCTGAATAGCAAATTTTGCTTAGTTCCAAATAAAGTGAGGAAATGATTTTGAGCGAGAGGTTTCTTATGGGAACCTGCAGCATTTCACACCCATAATACTGGGAATTAGGAAGTGAGAAGATTTCAGCATGATCTTAGTAATGTTTATTCTTTGTTTAATCATGGTCTCCAGGAACAGCAACAGCTACCGACCCCATTGCTCTGCGCACCAAAAGACATTTAAAAAGTCCCCTTCCTTCAAATAATGGGAGCCCCCATGGCACTAAGAATGCAATTTCCTCAGGCTTGAATAAAATACCCAGCGCTGAGGCATTTCAATAACCAGAGCCACAGTGTTAAGCCCTCAGTTAAACTGGAACTGCAGCTTTATCTTATTAGCAATAACCATCAGTAAAAATGCCCAGAAACAAGAGCATCTGTTTTCTGAACAAAAGAGACAGATACAGCATGTCAAAATGAGTAATTAATAAAACGAAGCAATCACAATAGTCTGGAACAATCAGTAACCAGGTGAAAAAAATGGATAGCTTTCTCATTAAAGGGAACAGATGGCTACTGTAAATGGCGTGTGGCTGAGCACCGCCGGCGTCGGGAGAGCTCCGACAGCGAGGGGAGAGCTGCACGGCCCCGACCCGGCTGGCACTGGGGAGGCACTGCCTGCCTCTGAGTGCTGCAGGTTCTGGCCACCATCCCTCTTCATCTCAGCCCCTGTGAGCACTGCTGAGCCTCCACTCTGCCATGAGAACGGGGGATGGCACTTGGGATGGTGTGACATCGCACAGGGCTGGCGGGCTGGGGAACCAAGGCTTCAGAGGATGTCAGCTTCACAGAGTCACAGAGTCACACCATGGGCTGGGCTGGAAAGACCTTCAAGCTCATCTAGTTCCAACCCTCTGTCACAGGCAGGGAACCTTCCACCAGACCAGGGTGCTCCACGCTCCATCCAACCTGTGCTGGAACACTTGCTCTGGGCAACCTGTTCATGCCAGGGCTGGCTGGGACAGTGGGGCTGAAGGACAGGGGACACACCAGACGGATGGAGACCTCTGGTCCCTCCCAGCAGTTCCCTACACCATCAGGCTGCTGCTGGGAGTCAGAGCTGACTTTCCAGGGAGGTCTCCAGCTCCTCTGATGCATGACAAATAGATGTGCTAATTGCATTAGCCCTGGTTCCTGTCTTTCACTCTCCCTGTGCTGGTGATTGATGCAACTTTCCCCTTCATGTATGGTGCTCAGAAGTCCAGAGCTTAACAAAAGGAACTGCACACCATTAGGATGGGCTGGATTAACATTTAATCAAGCAAAGAGAACAAACTGCCACATGAAATGAGCTGGGGGAAAAACACTTTTTTTTTTTTTTTCCAAAGGAAATTAAGCAGCACGTTTTCTTTAAAGCCTGAAGAAGTCCAACTTTGCTTTCAATACAGGGTGTACCATTTGTGTTTCATAACTTGCAATGCTCTTAATATCTGCATTTCTTTCCTACATAGGAACTGCTTTGGCTCCCACCTGTTGAGCTATCCTTCATCATGTCAGATGTAGCAATTCAATAACTTTACAGTCAGAGGTCAGACTGTCTTTGAAAAAAAGTAATTCAGAGCTAAAATTAAAGTTATTATCTTCAAACTGAGGCAGCACTGGGCTCTCTCTTACAGCATTTCCAGCAGCGGAAATGGTTCCATTCAGAGATAAAGCAGAGAGCAAAGCTGGTATCTCCCCCCTCAGATCTGACTCTCCCCCTGCAAATTTTTAATTACATTTGATAGCTTTTGTTTGAAATCTCCAGGAGTAAGGGATTTCTCAGCAATGCACATCTATCTGCTTGTTGCACTCACTGAGCACATGTACCCATCACCGCATTACTGCCTGCACTCAAGGCAAAAAAAAATTCAATAAGCAAGACTGCAGGAATCTCATCAAACCTGTGGTGACATGCTCAGGTGTCCTGAGCACTGGGCTAAGCTATGGGAGGCAGGGCAGTGCTGGGCACTGGAGTGGTCACTGGTGTCCTGACTCAGCATCTGCAGTGCCAGGAAGATGGCAGCCTCTCTCCTGCTCCTTTTTTTGGCCTGGCTTCAGTGAACATTTCTACTTTTTTCCTTTTGTGCTTTTTTGCATTAATTTTCTCTGCCTGCTCTCTCTGAACAACTCTCATGTGCCAATGTCTCCATATCTCCCACAACACGTGGCTCCCCTGTGGTCAGTGCCAGCTGTGGCAAAAGCAGAATGGAGTCCTGAGCCACAGGGTTGAATTTCAACTCAATGGGAGCTGTTCCTGCTAAAAACTATTCCTTGTTAAGAGACAATTCCTCATTAGAGACCATCCTCAGCAGAGAGAGCCAAGGAAGGAGGGACTCCAGGGGGTCAATCTGTCTGCTGGGAAACTGGCTGGATCTCCAAGGCAGATCTATACTGCACTTCTCTTCCTTAATTAGCCTTCTCCCTCATTCTTTTGTCCTGCTTTTGGTATTCATGAGGCACCCTCAAGGTGAAGAACACACTTTGCTCTGGAGCCATTCCTCAGTGGCTGAGATGGGGGGCACAGTCGGAGCCCACGTGGGGCTCTGTGGCCACCTGTGACCAAGCCACCTCTGCCACCTCTGTTCTGGTGTTGAAGTGATGGAGGGCATAAAAAGCAGATGCATGGGAATGCTTTGTAGCACTGGGAAAGGCACAAAAGGTGATGGCTGAGCTCCACCAGACACACACATCATTTTTAAGCTGGAAAACACACAAGTGCAAGGTGTGTGAAAATCACCTGGGCCACAGGCCACATGCCACACATGGGGCATGTGCAAGTATTCAAATGGGAGCTGCTGTGTGCCTGAAGAGACAGTTAAGAAACATTTATAAAGTTAGTTTGAAATATTTACATTTTCCTCAAGAGGGAGAACATGACAGGAGTGAAGAAGGAATAAAGTCAAGTCAAATACCTTACAAAGGATTCTGAAAAATTAATACACGTAGCCAACTAATCTCTAGCTGATGCATCACTCTGCTGTACCAGCCAAGGAGCTGGCTCAATATTCTTTAACAAATATTGTTTAAAAGTGTGACAATTATTGCTATCATATTCAGCAGCAGCTACCACAGGTCTCTGAGGTTTTCCTACTGACAGTTTCCAGTGTAAATGTAGCTGTTGGCATACAAATGATTTGGTATCATGATTATTGATTACACTGGAGGCTGGTGGTATCTGAAGGTAGTTAGTCAAAGTCAACACAGTGAATTGTGTTAAATATGAATATTACTTAGGCACTAATACTACTAATACAAATATACATTATCAATCAGTGACAGAGCCTTTAGGCAATAAGCATACAATGTCATGCCTAATTTGTGTGGTCTTAATTGTGATTAAAAGTTCAATTTAGAGCATTGTGACACAAATGGCTGGCATTATTCAACATGGTTGAAAATACTGGAATTATCCCTTAATTTGTAGTAAAATTGTTTTGTTCCTTTTCATTTAAAACAATTCTTTGTCAGTCTATAACCCACCTGTTCTGCTCCAGCCATTTCTGAGGGAGTATTCCATCAGCCTGAAGCTGACAGTGCACACATGTGTCTGGAACTGGGTTAGGACTTGCTTCAAAGTTTCTCTATAATGCATATTACTTGAGTATCATAAGCAATGATTACTTACTGACATGTTTATGCTGATGTCTTTTGAAAACAGAGCTTGAAAAACGTCTTGGAAAACTAAGCTACCAATTTTCTATCCCTTGTACTTGCCAGGCCTAACTGCAGCTTAATATGAAACTGGTGTCTGGATCAGAAAAGACACTGAGAGCCACTAATTCTGTCAGCAGCACAAACGGGACTTGGGGAGTGCAGCTAAATAAGGCCAAGAGAACTCATGCATATTAAGTATTACTACCTGCTGAAACTTCCTTGGCATGCAGAGAACATTCCAGGGGCTGACTGCAAGGGGACATGCAGCACATGCCTGCCACAGTGAGATGGCAGAGAAATGTGGGAAATGTGCCCCACGGCTGTGTGTCCCTGGCTGTGTGTCCCTGTCTGTGTGTCCCTGGCTGTGTGTCCCTTGCTGTGTGTCCCTTGCTGTGTGTCCCTTGCTGTGTCTCCCATGGCTGTGTGTCCATGGATGTGTGTCCCTTGCTGTGTGTCCCATGGCTGTGTGTCCATGGATGCGTGTCCTTTGCTGTGTGTCCCTGGCTGTGTGTCCCATGGCTGTGTGTCCCATGGCTGTGTGTCCCACAGCTGTGTGTCCCATGGGTGTGTGTCCCTGGCTGTGTGTCCCTGGCTGTGTGTCCCATGGCACTAATGACGCCAGGGTGGCTCCCAGGCCATCACTCAATGCCACCTGTGCAGTTCCACACCATGACATGGGGTTGGTTAAGTGGCTGCAGAGCCCTTTTTGCTTTTCTCTGCTCGTATTTTCAGCTGACTCTGTGTCTGGGATGTCTGCGAGGTCCCTGGAGAGTTTGTGCTCTGGTTTGGAGTGCAGACACAAACAGATGAGGCCAAAATACAGCTGAACTTGCCATCACCAGCACAAACAGCACCTGGGCTGGGGCTCTGAGTCCCAAAGGCACATACATCTCTACATAACTCAAGCTCAGAATGATCCTCCCTAAAAGTTCAAGAATGATCACAAAAACAGGAGAAGTTCTGCTGCAGAACTCCTGATCTAATTAGAAAAAAATCTGTTTCACCTTAGGGAGTGAGGCAGGTTTCATCAGACAAATGGCTTGCTGAATGCAGGGAGTGTTAAAACACTAGTATTTTAAAAATGGTAGTCCTGAAGCAATACAGATAATTATGCATAAGAAAATATGTGTTGAAAATGTGGGAGTTAATGAAACAGAACTCTTGATATGTAGTCTTACAAAGACTTGCAAATTATTGTTCTTTCTTTTATAATTAGTTTTTAGATTACCTGGGAACAAAAGCAGCAAGGACAACACTCGAGAGTGACAGAGATGCTGAAAAGATTCGGTTTTTGTTGTTTGGGGCTGCAGAAAACCTGAAGCTGTGTCAATGCACCCACCTTCAGCTGGAGCACAGGGCTGCACCAGACACAGAACCCATGTCCTGCTGGGTCAGAGGGACCAGTGGTCCTTGCAGCTCCACTGACATTCTCACTGAAGAGCAAAGCTACTAATTCAAGCCAAAGGAAACCACAGCAGATCTCAAACAAGTTTGAAGTGGCCAAGCTCTCCAGTTCACATCCAAGCCTACACCTCAGTCACTGCTCTTCCAGCACTCAGTTCAAACCTGGCTGCATGTTGCCTTTCCTATCAGTTAGAGACTGGGCTCTATGAAGTGGCATAAATTCATTGACTTCTTCAAACCCTCCACTAGCCAAGACTTTGGAATTTATTTTCTTTCTGGAAATGGGCCAAATTTTTTTTCATTTCCAGCACTGATCATTCCTACTGTAAGTTTCTGCTCAAGTGTTTGGGTCATTGCTTTGTGCATGGTGTATTTATAAAGGCTTTGTAAAGGGTTAGGAAATGAACAACTGAAATCATCAATCCATTGCTACTGAGGCTGAAGGACCTAAAGGTCATTTACAGACACAATTTAAATTTTCTTCACCACCTTCTACTATTCTCCTAACAAAGATTTTTCTACCATTCAGTATTCCTGTCTATAAGTCTCATAACATACTCATCAGTTATTCTCTCTATGAAATACATCTTCCTGTAACCTTCAGAGTATGAATATGCTTATTTACACATGGATGCCACTAGTTCAAGGTTTCTGTGAGGAACAGCAAAGGCTGGAAATCCTGTGGTATGTACAAGGCAGATTCATCCCATCACCTTTGACAAGGCAAGAATTCAATTTGCTCAATTCACTGTGACTGGTAGGTTCAATTCATTTTTAAGGGGCACAGGGTTTGTTAGGATGGAGGACAAAATCTGTTTCATCTCATGTTTTTGGCTGCGAGTGTCTGATTGCAGACATCACAGCGGCTCCATCAAAAGTCTTAACTTTTTTATTATTGACTAGACTGTTATAATAACCTGGCACTGCTGAAACAATATCAACAACGCTGAGATGACACACACTTTATCTCAAATACTTCTTCTCCAAAACAACCTTTCTTCATATTTTCCTAGGCACAACAAACAAAATAATTGTTCTTGTTCACAGAGTATAAAATAATTTTTCTTCAGATCTCCTTTTACCCAGGGGAAATCTCTCTTTCCACCCAACTAAAGAGGTAATCTATTTTCTTTATCTTTCCACCCCAGCCCAGAAGCTGTGTCAACATGGTTAACTGGATAGCTGATAAAGCTGACAGAATGAGCATCTCCGACGGCGCAGTTCGGGATGCGGTGTCACTGGAAGTGACCCGTGCGCTCCGCTGGCATTGCAGCATCCCTGGGAAGGGCTATTACCATGCCAGGAGATGGGGCTAAGGCTGATAGCAATCCAGGAAACAGCCTTTCACAACCACTTCAGCAGACAGCTAGAGAGCAGATGCAGAAAATGTTTGAAATCTTGCAGGGCTATCATGCAAGGCGTAACCTATTCTTTTAGCAATTTGTGGGACTGGAACTGCTGTGCAATTGAGGAGCTGGGATTTATATCAAAACACAGCAATCAATTACACTGTGAGCATTCTGCAGGTAGTGCATTTTATGAACAAGGATAGCATGAGGCACCATCACTTTTGAGTGTAATTAATCTTAATTAATTCCCTGATATTTAATATTAGCCTATCTGTGTATTTAAAAACCTATCTGACACACCCCCATCATACTGCCTGAACATCTCCTGGTGAATTAAAGTGAAAAATGACTATAGCAATTATTGCATGTTTAGATGCAGTAATGATTCTTAAATTAGTAATTTCCCAAGGCATGCTAATGTAGTGACTGGCTTCTCATGGTTTTGGGTGGCTCAGTCTTCACATAAATTTGCATGGATTTAACAAGCAGTGTGAAACTGCACCATTTTAAACAAATGACTCTGTGTCTGAAAAAGACATCAGTTTATCTCCACTTTCATATAATCACAGAATTGTTTAGGTTGGAAAAGCCCTCTCAGATCAAGTCCAACTGTTCCCCCAGCACTGCCAAGCCCATCAAACAACCATGTCCTCAAGTGCCACATCTACACGGCTTTTGAATCTCTCCAGGGATGGTAACTTCACCACTGCCCTGGGCAGCCTGTGCCAGGGCTAGACAGCCCTTTCAGTGAAGAAATTTTTCCTGATATCCAACCTCAATCTCTCCTGGCACAACTTGAGGCCATTTCCTCTTGTTCTCTCACTTGTTACTTGGGAGAACAGACCAACCCCATGTGGCTACAACCTCCTTCCAGGGAGTCACAGAGTGATGAGGTCTCCCCTGAGCCTCCTCTTCTCCAGGCTGAGCCCCCCACCAGCCCTGTCAGCTGCTCACCATCAAACTCATCTCTCTCCACCCTTCTCCAGCTCCACCACCCTTCCCTGGACATACTCAATGTGGTGAGGGGCCCAAAACTGACCCCAGATTTGAGCAGTGGCCTCACCAGTGCCCAGCACAGGGCGACAATCACTGCCCTGGTCCTGCTGGCCACACTACTGCTGATACAGGCCAGGTGCCATTGGCCCTCCTGGCCACCTGGGCACATGCTGGCTGATGGTCAGCTGCCACCAACCAGCACTTTGCATCGGCCTGGCAGATTCAGCGTGCCCCTTCTTGAACCCAGCAATCCTGCCTTGAGCTTGTGAGCCCAGCTGTAAGTCAGGACGTTTGATGCTCACGTGGTAGGAAGCTCTTTCCTCCCTGTCCATCGGGCGTGTCACGTACATCCTGCCAGACACAGGGTCAATGTTGAAGACCTCCATGGGCGGCTGGTCGGCTCCCACTCCAGTGATGCTGTATCTGATATGGATCTCCTTGTCCTTATCCGAACGGATCTGGAGGAAATAACAGAGACGGGAATCCATAAGTTCTGGACAAAAGCCATATGGATGTTTTAGCAACTTTAAAAGATCTCAGCCTGAAGGCTGCAGAGATGTAATACCACTGTGAGTCCTGACAAGGGAGCTGAACGCCAAAGATTTGGCAAAAAGCCATGAAAAGTACATTCCACAAAGTTTCAGCTATTTTGCTCCTTTTTAATTCATGAGAAATCATTGAAATTGTGACTTTCAACTGAGATGTGGAATAGCCTAAAATACATAAAACCCACTGTTTGCATATTACTGAAACCCTGGTCTCCTTAAAGTGTCCAAATTTTTCAGCTATACCCAGAGTCTCCCAGCCATTAATCATTTCTGAAAACGCTGTCTGCAAGCTCCCCCATTGTATTCTCCGTCCTGGTGACTGTGCACACAAATACTCCCATGAAATTCAAAGAACGGGGCTGTTTGCTCCTCTTTGTCCAACCCTGCTGGCTTGACGAGGCCAGGCTGGGAATGCCCAGTGGGATGTTACCATTTCATGTGATATTTGTTGAGGGAAAGCATGTTTTAGACACTGTTTCTAAAGCCCTTCCCTCCTGCACTTTGAGAACAACACTGCAAGCCGAGTACAGCACAGTGAGTTCCATGAACCTTGGATACAGAGCTGAGGAAAAAAAGAAGGGAGGTTAATATGTTGTCCTAGCAACCCTGACTATCTCTTTAAACACAAATTTAATTTTCTGATCAAATGCTGAAAGAAGTTCTTGCAACAGCATGACTATTCCCAAAAGAAAGTGCAAGGTACAAATAAATTACCACCCCCTGCACCATCACAAAGTGTCTTGGCACTGCAAAAAGCGACGTGCATAAATTTTTCCCTAACAGGTCTATGAATACAACGAAGTAGTGGGAAGATAATAGAGCCCTCGTAGCTGAATGCACGCTGGCATCTCTGCTACGGCAGCTGCACCCGTGGAGGTGCCTGAGTGAACTTAGTGGGATCCTGTGTCCCCCAAACAGCCTGGATTTGGGGAGAGAAGGTCATTTTCCAAGAGAAGAGGAGATTTTGCTTGTCAGGCAGAGGAATTGGGATGGGGCTGTGGGCTGCTGCACACTCCTCCCACATGTGACCTTCTCTGTTCCTTCCCCTCCTGACACAGGAGGCTGACAAGATGCTGAACGTGTCGGTGCAGGGCAATATCAGATCCCTGTCTCCCAGAATCTCCTTTGATACCTTTGTCCAGATCATTACCAAGTTTCTACACTGTTTTCTTTCTGCTTCCCCCACCAAACTGTCTGCTCCTGCTAATGGCTAATCATGTCAGTTATTACAGGCACCGCCAGGATTGATCCGCGCGGCACCTGCGCCGCTGGAGCTGCAGGTCAGGGAATAGACACAGCTCCATTTGTCTTCTCTCCAAAGGATTCACTGCTTGTTACACTGTTAGTACTGAGAAAACTGACTGGACTTACACTGGTACAGTCATTTAAAAGAGGACCTGGGCACACTGAAAGAGACCTCATGCTGCACAGGAGGATTTGTCCAGATTTACGTGGGGCTAGCGGGTATTTGGAAGAAAGACCCAAGTAGAAAAGCCATGAATTCAACTTTCATTAGCGAATCTGTGGGTGAGGAGGGTATATCAAAATCAAGCATTGCTTGCACAACTGTGGTTTCAGTGACAGCATTGTCACCAGTTTGACAGCTGAAGATCACAGTCCCCATTTTCAGAAGGTCAGCTCTGCCCTGCCAGAGGGAAGGGCTGGAAATCGAGCTGGTGGCAATGTCTGTGCAAATGCACAGCTCACACCAGGGAGTTCAAGCTCCAACCCACTAAATCCACACCTGGAGCCAGGCTTCAGGTAAGTGGAAACAGGAAGACACTGCTGGACCTCCAGCTCTGAGCCAGGGTGGGGTTCCCACCTTACAAATTAAAAAGGGTAATGTGGGACACACAGCTGCGTGTCTTTATCGGTGTGTGTCTGCACAACTCCAAACAAACTATAAATTTACCCTTAAAAAAGGTGGAAAAAACCCAAAACAACCCAACAAAGGTATTTCGCACTTCTACCCAGCCCCAGCCTGGCTCAGCTATGGCTGTGCTTGAGCACAAATGCCAAAGAGCTAAGCAGACACTCCAGGGAACCAAAATGGGAGCAGTTTTAACCCGAATCACAGAAGGGAAGAGCCTGTTAGTGGACATTTTTCTGCTCTATTTCCTGTTGCATATAGTACCCAGATGCCATTGTGATAGAAGCATTAGAAATGCATAGAGAGAGACAGAAACAGGGAAAAGGAGCCTGGATTTAAATATTCAGTGCTAAAGGCACTATATTTTATTTTTGGGAAACGCAGATAAACAGAAGCTCTCGAAGAAAGCTATGTACAGTTTAATAAAGTGCACGCTATAGGATGTCCTTGCAGCACTTTTATTAGCATTAATAGGGTCTAAGCTGTCTGTATGTAAATCATTGCAGATCTAGGAGATGAAATATATCATAAGACCCACAGCCCATTATACTGAGAGAAATCCATGAGCTAATTATACTGCATTGAGCAAAACAAAGATGGGGAAATATCCTGCAAATATTCAGCAATTTGCTGTTAATTGCAATCATAGCACAAGGGTTTGCCTGCTACCTATACTTAAATCCATTTCCAGTAAAAATACAAGGGTATGAAGTGTTCAGAAAAAAAATAATGTAAGAAGTAGCACTTGTCACAGAAAGTTGCAAAGACCATTGACAACGAAGCATAGTACATTTTACTGCCAGGGAGATATTTATCACACACATACTTTTTATATTGGAGCATATAATTTTAGCACTCTTAATGAGATTAAAAAATAAAAAAAAAAAAAGATTTTTTTCAGTAATCCTGTAACATTTTGACCAAAGGTTTAATTTGCCTAATTCCCAGGGTGCAATTTATTAAATCTTGTTGAGAAGTTAAGAACATTATCTTGAATACAATGCAAGGTTTACTTCTTTTGTTGAAACTGTTCCTGGAGCAGTTTACCATAATAATAATAATAATAATAATAATAATAATAATAATAGCAATAAATCCCTCTCGATTCCCAAGGAGCTCACTAAATCAGGAATAAAAATTACAGGTTGGGGGAATTTACTGGTTCAAAAGGGAGTTACTTTTTCCTTCATTTATCCTGGGAAGTGTGAAGATGGTAACAGATCCATATGATAATCTTCTGACTGGAGAACATACACATGAATTTTCCTTTCATTTATCTCTCCTTTTATAATGCAGTCAAGAGGTATGCAGGGCTCTGGGTTACAGAACAGATGGCAGAGGGATGGTTTTCCTTAGCTGCATTTATACATTTTTTACTCGGAGAACCCTTGGAGCTTTGAGCTTCTCCAGTGCCTGGCATGATACAGCTCTGCATATGATGATGTGAGCAGGATGAATGATGGTGGCTGATGACTGTCATAAAAGGAATTTGCTTGCAAAGCAGCTTTTATGCTCTAAAAAGCCCCTCTGGGATGGAGCTTGGAGTGGATTGATTCACTGGCGAGGGAAAATGTCCCAGATCAAAAGGCAATTTATGTTGGAAGATGCAATCCCTTGTTCCCACCCTACCTCATGAACACAGGTAGCATTTTCCACGCAGGAACCCTCACCAAGTCTGACAGATACAAATGGCCCATCTGGAAGCTGTGGGATCAGCCACCAGAGCCCCAGAGGGAGCGTGCAGCAGAGCCAGGCACCTCTCTGGAGCTGCCATCCCTCTGCCTGGCTGTGGCCAGCAAGGACAGGGTGGCTTTGCAGCCCAGCACTGAGTGGCTGGAGCTCAAATCATTGAGGCATCACCCAAAACACAGCAATGTTTGCAACTCAGAACCACAACATCCGGAGTCTGATTCAGCCCTTGTTTCTACAAAGCAATCCCAGAAACAGGAGAAATGGTGCAATGTCACAAGATGGGGATCTTCTACTGCAGGTTCTGATCTAATAACGAAAATGTTTGAAAATGAACATTGCAACTCTTGAGACAATACAGGGCTAAGCCGTTCCAAGCTGGCCTCTCCTCAATGTCACATTTAGACAGAAAAGCAGTGTTTGTGGCACAGGATTGCATCCTGCTTTTACAGATAACATCTTGGGGATTGTGCATCTCCATCAGGATTTATTGGGAAGATAAACCATTCCCACAAACTTTACTAGTGAACAAAATTTCAAGTGGTGAGCTCCTCTAAGGTATCAGATTTTATCACTGTTTTTCTTCTGCTGACCCACACCCTTGTGCTCTCAGCACTGCCCTTTCTTGCTGCAGGGGTTTGAATCCCCAGGCCCTCCTCCCTTGTCCTGGCAGTGACAGAAACCTCCAGAGATCCCTGCAATGCTCCCATGCCAGGAACAGGGGTGGTACAGAGCAGGCAAAGCTATGTGGTCAGCAGATTGGAGGGCACCAGTGAGAACATAAATTATACAGTTTTTGGAGCACGACATTGCCAGGAAAAAAAGTGTTCCAATGGAGACTGTTTAGAGAGCAGTAAAGGAAATGCCTGGAGGCCCAGGAAATGGGGTGTGCAAGGAAAAGCTGAATGAACAAGGACAACTGAGCCTACAGAAGAGAAGATGTGACCGTAACAACAGTACTCCTGTACCTAATAAACTGTATTTAGAGAATTTCATAAGGTGTCTGTGGTCTGGGTTCTGCCCATCCCTGCACTGTGCCTGGAAATGTATCTGGAGAAAGTAAAGTAGGACATTTATCCTCTGTTACATTTTCCTTCCACAGAATGAACCAGAAAATAAATTTCCTTTGAAATTCTTTGTCTTGCTCTACAACATATGGAGTCAAAAATGCCCTTCAAAAAACACTTAGTTTACCAAATCTTCCACTGAATAATATACAAGATTTGCACTAACATGACCTGGGGATACTTAGACTTGATTTTTTTTGTTTTATAAAACCCATTATAATTATTAATGAACACATAAAATAATGTAAATGATAAGCAGTAAGTGTCTTTTATTATTAAGCTCT